GGGGGAATAAACAAACAAGTTTTCTAAAAGCCAGGTACAGTGATGCAAGGTTTTGAAATGTAACATCATTGCTATGTAGCATGGTTGGAGGCAGAAATATAAGACCAGCTAACAACAGATGAATGTATGATATCCAGCAAGCAGTCCTCTAGATGCACTAGTGCTCTTTGAACTCAGAACAAAATTATTTGAGTAATAAACAGCTCAAAGTCTGCCAGTGCTCCTGGGCTCTGCCTATCTACATATTGTGTTCCGGGAGACAGTCTGCTAGAACTCAACCATGTGTACATTGACTAGTTTCACTACAAAACCAATAGAGATACCAAATAACAGAAGTAGACAGATCAATATTATGCAAATGTTCTTATCTTTCAGGATCACTGGACTTGCCTCTATGCTTTGCTACCTATATTAATGAAGAGGCAGAGGCAACTTCCTTTGCCTTCATGCTAGTATCCTCCTCCTGCTTGAATTAAGAATGTGATTTGCACCTTGAATTGAGGAATTTAGTGCAAATCTAGTAGAAAATCCTGTTCTTTAGTATTATTTAACATCTTAAAATTGAGAGAAATTGCTGCCTCATAACAGGGTTGTTTTGTTATCTGCACCTCCCGACTCCCTAAAACCAGTCTACACAACAATAATAATTTTTACTATTTATACCCCGCCCATCTGGCTGGGGTACCCCACTCAGCTGACAGCATACAGCAAGCTCAACAGTTCTGGTCCAGAAAGGGGCTTGCTAAATAAATAGCATACTCAAACAAGCAAGCCAAACCACACAAAGCAAAGATTTAAAAAACAAAAAGCAATCAAATCTTACCAGAGAGAAAAAACCTTCTGAGTCATGTAAGCAATCATTCATAGCCTGCTGTATGCAAAATGTATAGCATACATACTCTGATGATGGAAAGTATGCACTCTTGATGCACAAATGAAAAGCGCAAATGGTCTTTTTGGGGGATGGGGCGGGGCAATTAAGAGCCAATATTGGCATCATACCAATATTGGGCAGCCCACTGGCTGCTTTCACAGGTTGTCTCCGAACTGCGCAACTTTTGGAAGACTTGCAAATAATTTCGCCAAAGGTTTCAAGCCATGCAAGAATTTTTGCTGGCCCACCAATACTGTACGGCTGTATTAATAATGTGGAACATAATGTGTGAGGGGAGGAAAGGGGAATAATTTACTTACTGTATTTCTCCCCTGCCCTTCTTCCTGAAGACCAAGGTGGCAAGAATCAGCACTTTCCCCAATTTACCAGATAGGTGTTTACACTCAAAGGATGCTATGTGGGGATTTGCCCCTTTAAAAAGTGGGTAGCGACCCATTAACTTGCGGAGGAGGGTCAAAGCAAAAAGCGCACAGCCCTGTCAAGTACTCGCTTAGGATCAGCGCCAGCGAGGGCGCAACTACAGCGGAGGTTCCAACCAGGATTAAAAGGAATCCGCAGTACCCCGTTATCAAGATACAGAGGCTCTACGTTGCTTGGGGACGTCTCCTGCACCTCTCTCTAATTCGAAGAAATCAGATCCGGTATAGACAGCTACGGATTCTGTCCACGTTCCCCGACTGTCGCTTTGGGAACGAACCAGAGACAAACAAGATAAAGGGCCAGTCGCCGCCACCCAGCTATTTATTTACTTCTCAAACCCCACTCCACCTCCCGCCTGCCCAGAGTAGCAAAACTCACCGCGGTGTGGGTGGGTGGTGCACCGGCTCTTCGTAGCCCGGTGGTCCTCCTAGACGCGGAGGGCTGCAGAAAGAAGCCAGGAAAAGTGGCAGGGCAAGTTTGGGCAAGTCGGAGGGCGACTCTCCCTCGCTTGTCGTCCCCTCCTCCCGCCTGGTGACTCAGCCTTCGATCAGCGGCTGCAGCAAGACGCCTCCCAGGGAAGGAGCCAGCCCAGCGCAGAGGCAAGGAAGGGGCTGAGCAGCAGAGCCCGGCTGCACGCCGAGCTGTCCATCAGCGCGTGCTAGAACAGCCGGACCAGCCAAGCCCACACAAGGAGCGCAGAAACTTCTTCTGCATCCACTCACTTGTTTGGGCACTAAATTAAAATAATGTTTTTTATTTAATTAACCCCCCCCCCCCAAATCTCCCATGCATGAATGAACAGCGATAAGAGCACCAGGGATTATTGAGGGTTGTGCGTGTCCCTGAAAACAAGGGCACCCAGAAGGGGAAACTCTTGATTCATGTCATCCCGTGCAAACTAGCAAGCTGCACGGGCAATCTGCGGTCTCTTCGCTCCCCCGGCTTTGCATAGCTCTGTGGTTCACCCCCTTGCGCATTCCAAGGGCTAAGCCACGTCCCCACCCACTCCGCCAGCTGGCCTCTTGTGCCTCCCA